CAGTATGATATACAGTTTGATGAATAAATCCGTGGTTCTTCAGAGAACTATATGCTTGCCACTGATCGCTTTAAATCTTTATACCAATTTCTACCTCGCTTTCTATTATTAGTATAAGCGTTTTTCGATTCCTTTTTTCTACAATGAAAAATCGACCTTTAGTATTGTTGTCTTTATTACACCAAAAACTAAATACCCACGGTCGCTGTATTCTATTTCCATAATTTCGTTGGTTATTTTCTACCGGAGTTTCATTTTCATAATTTGAAGTTTTTTCACTATCTTCGTGTGGTTGTGGGTTGTAATTATCACATTGTGAGCGATTGTGATTATATTTTCGTTAGAATATAGGTATCTGTTATCGGTAGATCACACGTTGTACCTACAAYGCTTTTTCACAGATAGCCGTTTATCTGTAGATCACACATTGGACCGGTCCCTAAACGCTTTTAAACTTACCAAAAATACCATTTTTAACAAATGTATCAAATTCTTTATCCAAGAATAAGTTTGCAGTAACCATAATTTTATCTGAGTTAATGTATTGTATTCCTAGAATACAAATAAAAAAGAATAAGTATCTTATAATTCTAARTACCTTAACTCACAACTTACTATCATCATGTTTGTTATTTAAGTACACTATACTATTAACAAAATATGGAAKTGACTYAGTGTTCCAATTATCAATAACAACTATAAAAGAGATTTTTAAATAATATTAGACTAAAATCAAACAATATTAATTAAAATATTTAAACAATATGATTATTTACTTGTAATTATGATTGAACTTTCAGAATTCAAACTCATGAGACATTTTTCAATACAATTTGAAATGCAAGTATTTTCATTACGACTATAAAAATTAAAGCCACTTTTATTTTTTTCAACTGCCCAACWTTCATATCGAAATTTTGACCAAATTTGTTTATTGTTTTTTAATAGTATTAGATTAAGATTTGATACGGGTCTAAATAAACGTAAACAGTTTAAATTATTTTAATTTATACAATGAATGAATTAAAATTATACTTTACACTTTTAAAGTATTTTGAAGAGTAAATCCATACACAAGATTTTCATTRGATAATTTTAACCAAGAGTTTTTTGTTTTAACATTTGATAACAGTTGAACATCAGAAATATCATCATTAGTTACTTGCATTACAGCACTGATAAAAGAAGTAGTTTTTTGTGACATTTTATTTCTTTCTGTGTCATATAATATATTTAAATGCTGTAAAATATAAAACCAATCATAGTAAACAATAATTTCATGATAAATAACTATGTGGATATACTGGTATATTCAAATGGATCCTACTTGGTACATTATATTTTTATATTTACAACTTAATTCAATAAGAGGATGTYAGTGAAATAATTGTTTTCTATCCCAGGCCCACATGCAACATAATTGGAATGCATCCATGTAAAATTACTGTTTTTATAATATATGAGTGTTTATAGAGTAAAATTACTGAAAGTAAAGAAAGAATTATTAAATAATAATGTTACGAAAATTGTGACGTCACAAATAATTTTGATTTTTAACTTAAAAAAACTACCTATGTACATTTTGACGAGTGTTTTAAATTGAATATCAATATAATATTTGTTGCTTTTTTTTGTTTATTACAATGTTTGATTTGATCAGTTTTATACAAAACAATAAGAACACGTGAGGATATAATAGATAATAATAAAAAAATAAAAACTAGCTTTGGTTAACAGAGCTTAGAAGCTTCCCAATGGAGGTACTACAATAAAAAAAAAAAAAACATGAAAATTTAAATTTAATTAATTTGACAATAAGTTTCTACACCATTTGCGTTTTAGTCATTTGGGAGGATTTCCAAGGATAGTCAAGGAAGAGATATTGTGCATGAGTGGGTTTCTGTGGTTTTTAAGGCGGTTATAGAATCTTTTAAGGTGTGTTTTAGCCACGTCTGCAACAAAGGGTATGGAGAGGTCGTGRTGGAGTTTGTAATTCGAAACGTAATATGGTGCTTTAGTGATTTGTCTTAGAGTTTTGTATTCTATWGATGTTAGTAAGCTTTGCTGATCCCCAGAGCTGTATACCATAGACCCATATTGGTTTAAGTAACATTTTGTACATAAGGAACTTGTTGCTCAGATGAATATGTTTGGAGGTCAGTAGGTATCGCAGCTGGCAGCTACAATCAATTAATATAATAAAATATACAATTTACAATATAAAACATTACTTGTAATTTGCTAACACAAAATGTATATACAACAGAAGTTTCTTGAGGTATAMWACTAATTTGTTCCTTATTTTCAAAAATATCAATTAATTCAAAACCTTTATCAGTTCTTATATAAAGTTGAGGTATTCCTGAATTATTATGATCATGGACAACCATTTCATATACGTTGAAATATGTTTCAATAATCTAATGATCATAAAGTAAAAAAAAAATTAATATTAATAATAAAATATAAATAATATAGGTTATACAAATATAAAAGTTATATAGTATAGTAGGCTAAGTTTTGCTGTGGTTAATTTATCTCAGTTATTTGATAATGGTGATATGTTATTTACATAGAATATAACTGTTTAAGAACTAAAAAAAAAAAATGGGGAGTCTATAAGAAAAAATAAATTGTATCACACCAAGCAAATTGATAATATTACCTATGACAGTAAAATATAGTTGTTAATATAACTACTTTTGTAAAATCCAATCCTAATTATAATATAGATATTAGGTATTGACAATAGTTGTTTTTAATTGAATCAATTATTTATAGTTAAATACTTTTACCAACATWATCARATTTAAAATTACCTAGAATTCACKATATCAAGATTAAAAACTTTTTAAAATGTATAYTTACATATTTAAGATAAGTATTTTAAAATGTTATACCTTAAGACTTGCTTCTTCTTTGACTATTACGACTTTATTATCTCCATGTAAAATATAATAAACTTCAATTTTAGGTTCATTATAAACAAGAAATGGTTCTAAATGTTKAACTTCAATCTTCACATTACAATTTTTCATCAGACATCCTTTGAAAAAAGTCATAAGCTTTTTGTCCGTTGTACAAATCACCGTGTCATTATCACATCCTGAAAACAAGCATTTAAAATAATAATTGTTGTTACAACTTAATTAGTTAAGAGTTTAATTAAAAACAAAATGAAATTATGCATAAATATTATCTCACCTATTATTCCTTTTATAGCAGCAGTTGTGATGTCTTTATATGATTCTGGTATATTTAACAATTGACTCATAGTGAAAGAACGAATCAAGTATTAAGTAATATCAAAACATAAATGATATGCAATGATTTATATAACAGGCTTTGAATTAATATTAATTATTTGAATAGTAATATTTGTAGTTCAGTAATAAATCTTGAAAAAAAAAATAAGATTAAAGTACAAAATAAAAATTACCAATTCATACAACAGGTAGGTAAGCATTTAGTAAATTGAATAGCATAGGTAAATATWTACTTTTGTAAAATTAATACTATAGAAATAGTCAACAATATTTATCCAAAACTATCATGTTAAAAGAAAGAGATAAATAAATCATAACAATTATAATATATTATATTAATTAATAATATAGACTATTTACCATTATTTATTGAACACCGGCATTAACATTATTTTGTAATAACATTGTACAAAAGTAACCAATTACTAAGATAACAATTTTTTATTTACCTACTATTTAGATATTTAGTAGGTACTATTTAGTAYTATTTTAAGTTTCAAAATTTAAGTATTTTACTATGTAATTAAAGCATGCTAAATTAATTAGTAATACGTACCTATATAAAATAATAAATAATTATATATTATAACATCTCATTCGTGGGATGTGATCAAAAATTCAGATTAATTGTAGTCAAATTTTGAATTTTGATAATAAAATACTGTTCAATACTTATCACTAATCAGTACTACACTACCGTCTACCACCATGCAACACTAAAATACTGAATGAAAAAGACGTAATTACCACTGACCTAACCACCATTAACTTCTAGTAACCACAATCATGCAGCATTACCGCGTAATAACAATTTTTAAAAACTATACAATTTAGTAATATTATGATAGCAATTAGAAGTATATTATTATTGTTCTGTGATAT